ACAGGCCAACTGAAATGAAATCCGCCGGTAGCCGGACCCCAAAAGGGACACGGCTCAGCATAAGACCGGTAAATGTACACCCTTACGTTCCCAATAGGGACCTGGACAAATCTTTCCGAGACCGGAGAAACCGGACCCCCGGACAGCATTCCACCCGGAACTTGTCACGGCAGCCTGCTACTGGCCGGACCCTCAATAAGGGATACGGCAACTGAAATCCATCTCATGACGCTGGCAGCACACCCTCAACGGGACACGAAACCCAATAGGTTCCCCAACAAGCACCTGACACCCCCAGTCAGCTTATCGGTAGCAACGAGGCTACCCCCGGTACAACCTTCGATGGCGGTAGTGACCCCAATAGGGTTGACCCCACCTCTTCAAATAAAGCCAACTGGCCCGTACCATCGCTCGGAGAATCGCGCCGACGGACGAAGGCTAGCCATCAAGGACGATCGGAGGCTCAGCATGGGCCCGGTAAGCTTGGACACCAGCAAACCCCCGATGAACTAGGACTCACCGGTAGCCGGACCCCAATAGGGTTAGGCTTACCATAAAACCGGTCAAGAAGGACATGACGACGTCTCCAATATAGCCGTTGACGAACTTCACCCGGACAGACTGGAAGGGAAGTATCGCAGATCGCGTTAACCACGTTCTGCTACCCGTTCGGACCCTCAATAAGGGATACGACGGTAGAACGCTCGCAGACCGCGGAAACTACATCTTTTACACGACCGGACCCTCAATAAGGGATACGGTGGGTTAACTCACCCGGTACTATGTCCAACGAACCCTATGGAACGGACTCCCCGGATTGACCCGGCAACTACGAGTGAAGCCGTCGGAATTTCAGTGCTCGCACCGTACCGGAACGTCTTCCGCGGTTTCCCCCGGACAGAATCCGTCAGAACTTTCGGATCCTCCGGCACCAACAACCTTCATGGCTCAACCTTCGTGTCCTTAACCACATCTGCTACCAACATCGCAGATCGCGTCTTCAACCACGATCAACTACCATCACCGGCCCAGAACGGAGCCTTTACCCGAGCCAATACTGTCCAAGACCGCAGACCGCGGCTTTCAACCACATCAAGGATCATCATCGAACCCAACAGGCCCGGCATCAACCCTCTCAACATTGCCCAATAGGCGACCGGAGACGAAAATAAGGGTTGTTGCCCGGACAGATCGTCCTGCAGACTGTAACCACGACTGGCCTGTGGACTTTAAACCAGCCAACACGGATGCCAGCAAACTCTAACTTGGCAGCCGAATCTAACCCTGGGATTCAACCTTTGGGCCCTGGAATCGACTTCAGAGTCCGGCTTCAACCCTTCCAATGTTGCCCAATAGGCGACAGAGGTGTAAAACAGGGTTTTTGCCCGGACATAATGTTAAGCAAACATGATTTGAAGCAGAATACAAACCTACCATCGGACTCTAGCTTCGTAGCCGAGGTTGCCACTGGACTTCAACTTTTCAACCGAGGCTAACCCTCGGATTGGACCCTCGAGGCCTGGCTCAGCCCGGTCTATGTTACCCAATAGGTGACTGGACACGAAATCACGGGTTTTGTCCGGATGAAAACCTCGGAGCATCGAGGAGGAACCCCCGAACCAACTGGGGGCCGGACCTTGCCCGGAGATATACCTTTTATCGGATCAACAGGGCTCAGACCCTGCCCAGAAGCCTAATACCCCGGTAGCAACCCTACCCTCAGCACCCAATAGGTGCTAAAGGATGACTTAAAGGGTTCTGCCCGGATGGATCCTTTATCAAACCGTTGACCATGGCTCGCCTTGGACTTAGAATCATCATCCGAGGCTGCCAACGGACTTAAACTTTTGACCGGGGCTACCCTCGGGTTTGACCCCTCGGACCCCGGATTTGACGTCAGAGTCCGGCATTAACCCTTCCAATGTTGCCCAACAGGCGACAGAGGACAATTATGGGGTTTTGCCCGGACAGGACCTTCAACCGACCCAGTAACAATGACTCTAATATGGCAGCCGAAGATCCCACCGGACTTTAACTTTGAAGCCGAGGCTGCAATTGGACTTTAACTTTTTCACCGAAGATGAACCTCGGATTGGACCCTTGGAGTTCGGCATTAACCCTCCCGATGTTGCCCAATAGGCGACAGAGGACCATAACAGGGTTTTTGCCCGGACAAGGTATCTAGCGCATCGCGTAACCACGATCTGCCAAAGCAGCCACGGATCCCATCGGACTTTACCTCAATAACCGAGGCTGCGATTGGACTTCAACTGTCTGACCGAGGCTGACCCTCACATACCGAGGTTACCCCGGATCAGACCCTTCAAAGCCTGACATCAACCGGTCCAAGTTGCCCAATAGGCGACAGGACGCAAAATTACGGTTTTTGTCCGGACGAAACCTTTGAAAACCGGTACTTTACCGGATAATTCGCCCGTAAGAAGACCCAATAGGTCTTATTCCTAACCCAGAGAGGATGCATCATGGCTTTCGCGGATCGCGACGGTGCCTCTCCATTCACCTGACCTTTTGAACCCCTGTAACGGAGGTTCCATTCAACTTTAACCGGAGGATTCCCGGTCGGAAGTGAGTTTCAAGCCCGTTTCTCACCCGGCTACGGTGATTCCACCATCTTACCCGAAGTCAACCGGTCGGAAGTAGGCTTAAGCCCGGCCTACTTGACCCTATACTGAAGTTTTACCGGTATCATCGGGTATCCCGAGAACCGATGCCTCGGACTCGGATGACAGGATAACTGTTGGACAGGAGACCCAGGAAACGGACGTCGTCCGTGTCGGAATAAGCCCCGGATCAAAGACCCGGACCAAAGACTTTGATATTTTTTTTTAACTTTCTTTTAACCTTGAAATGATGTTTATTTAGAATTTAACTTGAGAGAGAGAGATTGATGTTTTATTTTTATTTTCGCCGTTACGGATCGTCATCAACAGAAGCCTACACCGGTCCAACAAGAAACCCGACCGACCTCCGGATTTCTGCCGTGAGTTGTATCGCCACCACGGGTCCGGAGGAGAACGCGTGACCGGAGAGACCCACACCGGACACCCCGAGGCGCAGCCACCGACCCCAATAGGGTCGTGTGCGGAGCGGGCACTGGGACGGTATGAGACCGGGTCCTTCGCAGGGGCTCGGACTCCCGCCCAGAGGCATGTCAGGCCGGTCGCTATGGCAGCCTACGAGATGGCAGCCAGCGACAGCCCTGCTTCCGGTGTGCTGACTGAGACACACGGAGTCGCACTCGCTATCGTACGCCGTATCGGCCTCGACTCAGGCTCAGCTACGCCTTGCCACACCTACGGCTTTACGTCTCGGCCAATCAGCGTTCGTTCGCTCGTGTTGGATTTGCCCAGTGCCGCAGATAGGCATTTTCTATGTTACGGCTCATTCAGCCGCTTATTCCAGTTTAGTCATGATTTTCTCTCACGCTGGCCACTTGCCATGCGTTATGCCCATGCTTTACTGCTGTACACAATAAAGCCTCATTACTCACTATCGTGAGCCCTCTGTGTTGTGCTGCTGATAGTTGGAGTTAGGAAGTGGATCGAACGCGTTGAACGGTGGCTAATGGGAAAATTGCGCAAAACGCTACACAATGCCTGCCACACAACGACCGTTGAATAGCGTTCGAAAGTTCTTGTGTTTTGGTAACACTGATTAGCCCGTTTAATACTGATATAATTCTTTTGGAGTTCCAATCCACGCATTTTCCTGATTTTTCCTCCCGTGTACAGCAGATTTTCCATGTCAGTTTATTTAGTTTAAAAATTTTAAGCGCAAACTTTGACTTTTTTTTACTAACGGTGTTGCTTTTCCCCCTTATAAAAGATCTGCTCGACAAACTTTTAATTTTTGACAACATCACAATTTGCAAGTCTGGCGGACTCGTTATCTGCGTTACATGATTTCCTTCTGATTGGCCGTCATTTTTGCTGTTGTGCGGCGTGCTGCGGTTGCGCACTTCCAATATTGGCCACGGTTCAATTCGTTCGATCGACTTCCGACTCCAAACATTCTACTTACACCTGTTTCGCCGCCTCACTATTATTCTAATTAGCTGAAAAACAGTAATTTTTAATTTCGAAAGGGGTAATTTCAAATTTCCGCTTCCAGGACATCCTTGAAATCTACTCAATTTTTCAAAATAATTCATAAAAAAGTTCAGCTTCAAGACAATCTTGGTTTGACTTAAAATTCCTATGTTAAAAACATTGCTCTTTCAAGCGAAACTAAGATGACGACAATCATGCACTGGGCGGACCCAGCGCACCATCGTAAACCAGACCGCCATTTTCTTGAGCCACCCGGTACGATCTAGGGACATGTCCTATCTAGGGACACGGGTTAGGACAAACTGGATCAGCTAAATAACGCTGTCGTGCAAGTACAATCATACATCTAATACCGTGGTTGCTATGTAACGTACGATGCCCGGTACAGCACCGCAGTACGAAACTCCTGCGCATAGCCACTTCGCGTTTGCAGCGAGCCTTTCCAATCACAGCTTGAGCTAGGGTAGCTCTTGCTTAAGTGCAGCGGTTGCGCTCCGGAGATTGCAACCGTATAGGTGACATTGACGGCAGAATGTGTTAAAAAAGTAGAAGTTGAAATCGAACGTTCTATTTAGCAGTTTCATCGAAAATACCGGTAACAGCATCGACTGCATCGTTATCGCTTATATGCGACCGTGGATGGTATATACAGAACAGTAACGGAACTGCTTACGTTAGTGATTCAATAATAACCGCTGTTTCCGAGGTTTTTACTGTTACGATCTAAAATTAATACACTTTCCAAATTCCAAATGTGGATCTGTCTAAAGACATTGCCGCATTTAAACGCAACGGCAAGTTGGCAACAACGGGAAATGGATGGGCGCAGGCACAGCACATACGGCAGTCATCTGCCCACAGGCGGCGGTTTGAACCCTATGTTTGCACTTCCAGTTCCGACCGTTTTTCATCGCTCCTACTTCATCGCTTCAGTAGTAATCGCTCTGTACTCTTGATTAAAAGCGGTGCCCGTTTTACGGTTTACGGCTGACTTCGCCGACTCACTAATGTGAGTCGGCGAAGTCAGCCGACTCACATTAGTGTGAATATTAATGTGAACAAAACTCGGGAGCTATTTTTCCAGCTGTTTATCAAGTTACTCAAGTATTTCGATATGTTTTCAAGTCAGTCTGGAACGATGTCATTATTGCTGCACTGAGGGCATTTCACAATTTATCGAATCGACGATTAACATACTCAGTACGTTTTGAGAAAACTATCTGACACGTTTGGCTGTTGGCTGTTGCTGATAATTGTGCATCCGACTTTTTGTTGCAGAGGGGGAAATCCAAATTCATCCCCGTTAGGGAATGAATTTGGATTTTTCATTGCTGTGTCTGCACTGAATTGGAACTCATTTTGACTATCTTTGTGCGTGTTAGCTGAATGGTGAGTTATGTAATCGGGATCATGTTCCAACCATCGTTTGCCAGCGCGGAGCGTCGAGGAACAGTTCCTCAGATCGTCAGTCGGATGCGGGCCGTTTTACATAACGGAGAGTTGAGTGACATTAAGTTTGCCGTGGGACACGATCATGGCGATGTTAAGATCTTTCCAGCCCATAAGTACGCGCCATAAACCCAGTGGCAAGGCGGTTCGTGTTTTGGCGTAATTCGGTTTTGGCGTAATTCGACTTTCTCTAGGTTCGCTCTTAGCATCAGCAGCGACGTGTTTCACACCATGTTTTACGGGAATTGGCCCAGCACAGGACTGGATGTGATCGAAATCCCTGAAATCTCTCCTGAAGGCTTCGCTAATATGCTGAGGTACGGTACAGGCCCGTACAGCAGCCTAATTTTGCGTTTTTTATTACTGTACTGCCAAGCGCCAGATACTATTTTTGGCATAGTACACTAACCATTAGTACAGTAACAAGAATTAAGAATTCTAATGCGGAGTTTAAATTAAATACGGTTCATCATTAAGGCGTTAACACTGCATTTTCTGGGCTTCGTGCAGTCAGGATCGATTGCCTCTGAGACAGTTATGTTCAAGAGAATATAAATCATAATATAAAAATTAAAACGAGCTCAATAAATTATCATTAATTATGCTCGATTTTCCGATTTAGTTCTTGCATGTCTTGCACGGAAAGTAGCTGTTTCGGTGTTTCTGTCAAAGTTTAGAAATAAAAGCCGTTTTACGTTGCCACCCTGGTGGTTGTAATTGGTGCAGCCGCCGGAAGCTGTTGTTCTTTGATCAGCGTGAAGCTTTTCGCACACCGTCCGTGTACCGTGTACGCACGAAGTAGTAAAGTACCGTCATAATTAAGCATGGGAAGCGATTTCCCGGAGATAGTGACGGCGAGATACAGACTACAGAGCAATTTCAAGGAGGTTTTGTGATCCTCGTGCTCGTACGGCTCAAACGACTCCATGTGCCTCCCGGGCCGTGAAAACTGTGTGCAGCCACACACTCCCAGCTACAACACTTGCATGCTGATCCCCTCTGGAAAGGATACGCAAAGTCAGACATCTCTTTTCGCTGACTGGTACATATCAGCTCCGGATCGTGATGACACACGTTACCAGTCGATATCCACCGGCTAGTGCGCATTATGCTCAAATAACAGCTAGCGCTTGAAAGATACTAGTGCCTGACTTAGCGTAACAACAAAATACAGTACTATTGCTCGTAGTATCACTGTATCTTCTTATTTTTCAGCTATATCTACACAGATGTCGTGGAGAATCTAACACCCGAAAACGTCGTGCAAACACTCTATTGTGCCGACAAGTATGATCTGTCGTGGCTAGCGGAACGGTGCACAGACTTTGTCCTGGAGCAAGTGAAGCCCGACAATTGCCTGATGTATTTGGAAAATGTTAGCCTTGTCGATGCTACCAGAAATTGTTGCTAGTGTACCCGGAAACAATGTACCGTCTAATGATTTCTGTCTGCGCAGGCGTTACGGTGGACACCTGATTATGACCGCGTAGTGGAGAAATATCTGGATTTTGTGGATGAACACAGTGTCGCCGTTCTCCAGTCGGAGAACTTCTCCGACATCGGGAAGAAGACGTTGGAGATGATTATTCGGCGGGATACGCTATCGGCCGAGGAGCATATCGTATGCACGGCGGTGGACAAGTGAGTGCAGGATTGTATGCAGGTTCTTCCAGAAAGTTCGTGTAGAATGTGCTCTGACGTACACTTTCTAAAGCTGCCCGAAAACCTTGATAACGGGCTAATAAAGTAACGGTATATCGTTTGTCATATCAGTCGTACGAACCGTATGGCGGCCTGGTTCTTATAGATGGGCTACGGCGCAGTGCTTGCGCAGTCAGCTGGAACCTTCCTCCGTTAATCGCCGTGAAGTGCTGGGAGCTGCGCTCACCTTTGTCCGATTTCCTGTGATGAGCGATTCCCAACTGGCTGATGGACCCCTTAAGGTAGCCGATGCGATGTTTCTCTTATAGCTAAGCATCATGCGCAGGGCGGAGGCCAGAAGTAACGATGCCGTAAATACCGTTGGTTTGTCATTTAGAGTGGTCTGCTGATCCCAGCTGAAATGTGTGACATTCACCTCTGGAGGCACGGCACCGTTAAGCCCGCTTTGCATTTCTTTCCTCACGCCGAGCCACGAGAACGTGGCGTACAGGAAATCAAGAAAGTTGCCTACAAACAGCGGGAACAAATATTTGTGATGTGCGACGACGACAAATGGCATCCCGGAGAAATGGTGGGCATCCGGCAGTTTGAATTTGTCAATCTGTGGCATTCGGAGCAAGATAGACAAAATATATCACCTTCGAGGATAATTCGGGCGACGGACATTCTGAAGCGGGGTCTGCCAGTTGATGCGCTCGTTAACGGAGTGTGGAAGGAAGGGACGTATGGCTGTCTGCGCGCCGGTCGGCATAATGTCAGCTTCGCCAGCCAAGAGCATGCTGTAGAGTTCAAGTTCCTCAAGATCGCCAGTAAGCACGTGGAGGAATGGAAATCGGCTAGGAAGAAACCATAGCGGATGGGATTGGGGTTCTGCGCGCGCAACTATGCTTGACGTGATTTTCGAATCTTTCGGTTTGTACAGTAGTGGTGAGATGCAGTTTTAATTTTTTCACATAGATAGACTGGAATAACAGTGCTGTGGTATTTAACGGCCGACAGATTTAGACTGGCTGAATTTATAATTTTCATTTTGCTATATCCGAGTTCGGTATCGGCTCGCGGTACGGGATACGTTTTCGGTTTTGTTACTTAACCTTGCGACTTTTGCATTCGGTTGTTGTGCTAAGCTGTCAGCTGTGTCCTATAAAAGCAAGCCGGGTTTTGCGTCTTTATTATAATTGACTAATTTGTTCAAATCCATGACAGCAAAGTGTGACTCAATGAAAATTCAATTGAAGCTAGATGCACCTCGACATAAGGTACGACTAAAAGTACTTCGTAGGTATATCAGTTTGTCGGTTTTTTTTATTAATTTTGTGACATACATTACTATTTGCACGTCACAAATATTACAACATATATTAATTTGTCGCATAAGAATGTTTTACTCGGTGTTAGAGAGCACTGGCCTGCTCTTCTTACGTACTGTACTTGTATCAGTTGTATGTAAAACCATTCGGCAAATCTTCCATATAAATAATAAATTTATTTGTATGCTCCGTCGATTGCCCAGTGATAACCGGGCTAGACTCCCACGATCGGTAGATTTCTTCGTAGTTTCTTTGCGAGCTTATCCCAGTCCCGGCATTGGTATATAGTATAGGATTACGAGTCATTTGACCGGCTGTAGCTTTCGGTCTAACCATGCGTATTATACGAGTAGCTTCGTGTACACGGATACCGTGGAGGTGACTACCGAGGACGTCTTCCCCGTGCTCCAGTGCGCCGACAAATACGACTTACCACGCCCAGGCCACCGCTGTCACGACTTCATCCTCGAAGACCTTCGAATTAGCAACTGTCTGCAACATGTGGAAAATGTCTGCCGTCTTTAGTTTACAGTTTACTCATATCGCTGCGATGGTTTTAGTATTACTTTGTAGGCACTGGACTGGACTGTAGAAGGCGACAATATCGTGGAGAGCTGTTTGCATTTCGTGGATGTGCACTGTGCATCGGTTCTCGAGTTGGAGGAATTTACCCAGCTGAAGCACAGCACGCTGCAGAGGCTTCTGAAGCGCGATGCCCTTTTTACAGATGAAAACAATATCTTTTGCCGCGGTGAACAAGCAAGCAAAATTCTTTACCTTTTACGATAGGGGGCCTTAAGAATGTTTTTTCAGTGTACAAATTTTAACTAAGAAGCAGTGCCTCCGCGCTTGCACTTTTCGTTATTTTACATAAGAGTTAGCGTGTGTTAATGTAGATGGGCGGTGGCTGCCTATACACGTAACAGTCTGGAGGCGTCGGCGACTAACCGGCGCCAGATGCTCGGTGGCCTTATCTATCTAATTCGGTTCCCGTTGATGACGGACCAGCAGCTGGTCGATGGTCCCGCCGGTGTAAGTGGCAGACTTCTGGCTATTGCTCACTGGTGTCAAACATTTTAGTTTGCCGACAGTAGCTATAAACTTTCCGGTTCCGTAGAGTGGCCTGCTGCAGCCATCCGAATTGTTAGAAATAATCCTCCACAATTACAAGTACGCAACACCGAAGGGACCGCTGGAGTTTGCCTGGTAACGACGACGTGCTCCGTTGCCCTTTGCTGGTTATTGGGTTCCACTGCACGCCAAAGAGGAAATTTTCGTGCAGGGCCAGCAGTACTGGAACGTCCGTCCACTGTATGATGCTGAATTCCAAGCAGATCACGACGGTCGGAACGGAAAAGATTGTCCGGGGTGTGGACATTCTGACTGATGGGCAACAGATTTTATTGTTGTTTCGTGCTACTGGTGGCCGCCGTATGGAGGCAGTGTATAGGATGAAGGATGGTGGGATTCATCTTATCGATGTAGCTGGTCAAGAGCGGAGAGCGAGGATCGAAGAGATTCGTTTCAAATTCGATCAAGTCGAAGCGTGGAGAAAAGCGAATGAGATCGACGACGGAAACATACAGGAAGTGGCTGCCTGACGACGTTCACTGCATGCGACTTATCTTATGTGACCTGCTAATTTTCGTTATACGCTTTCCCAAATATATTATCCGAATTATTAGTAATAGGAATGACGTTTGGCTCTATGTTATTTTGAACGGATATTTATAAATTCGGTTTCTGTAATAAGAAGGGTCATGGTGTAGTGCATTTGCTCAGTGATATGTGCTGAAGTGCAAACGAATATGTGCGAAATCAATACGTTCTGTCTCCCTAAAACTTTGCTTATTTTTATATGGACCGGAAGTAGAGTCGCACCTCTTACCTTATCGTACTCGATCGAGCTTATGAATGCGCGCTTTTACCTTATCGTACTCGATCGAGCTCTGTTTGTATTTTTTTTGCCATAGCTGCTACCGGTATAGTAACTGAAAAGGCTCGTAACGTTCTGTACAAAAATCAATCAAAGGCTACGCTCCAGTTCTTAAGTCCCGCTATGGCACATGCGTTTAATTAAGCAAACTTAATAATACAATGTTGATGCGGGCAATAAAGAATTCACTGTTTCTTGTCATCACAACCTGGGAGGTTTCTCCCAAGGGCGTTTGCACCGCCTACGAAAATCCTGCGTGATTTGGGAATTTGTAGGTATGCGCTCGACAGTAGCAGCATGGAATAGGGATATAACTTTTACAGTGGTCGAGTTTCATTGCGTTCAAGTGGAGCGTACAGTAGATTCAGGCATCACGAAGCTGCGCTCTAAGTATGAAGTCTAGCATAACGGTTAGCCGGAAAAACATTTTGTAGTGGAAGTTGCGAGCAGCTTAACAAAACGTCTCACCGCACCGAAGTGTTTTCGAAAGCATCCGTTAGAACATCGGGAATGTCGATGGTAGTTGAACATTTCTATGGTAAACTCCAGTAAACATGGTGTAGGTTTGCTGACTGCCGGTGCCTCAACTTAATACAGCCCGCCGCCATGGGGTGAGGGGCAAATGACAGTGCCCGGCGCACGTGAAGACCTGTAGCGCCAACAGCAAGAGGATTGCGGAAACCAAAAAGTGCCTGTGTGCTTGATCAAATTTGTTTTTGAAATATGGTCTCATAGTGTTGGTGTTCTAGCTGTTAACAGTCAGTTCAGATACTTATTTTGAATTCTGACTGGTTATATTGCTGTTTGCGAGCTCCTTGACTGTTCTGCAGCCTCTGCCGATGACTTTGAAGTGCGTATTGTCACTGTAATCACTTGATCCAAATTTTCACAATCTGCAGTTTGCTGTTGCAGCCGTAATGTCTCTACGTTCCTTAAATTCCTCGGACGCGAAAACTTGCACCGGGATGGCGAAATTTGGCATCGGCGTTGCGCATCTTTTAATCTGTGAAGACATGAGTGACGTGCAGTTCGCAGTGGGTCGGGATTATGGAGCCCAGAAAACGTTTCCTGCCCACAAGTGAGCCTGCTCCATCTGCGACTGCAGTTCGCTGTATTCTAAATATCCATAATTCGTTTTGCCTCTACTTAGTAGTCAGTTTTATGATGTGATTGCAGGGTGATCATGGGTGTCCGCAGCGCTGTATTCCATACGATGTTCTATGGTAGTCTGCCCGATAACTGCAAAACTCCCATCGACATTCCAGATGTTCCTCCCGACGCCTTCGAGAATATGCTTAGGTGCGTGAAATGGGATTTGTCTGTCGTGTGGCAATTTGTTGTCTTCATAGTGACAATTGTACACAATAACAGTGCAAAATGAATTTTGTACAGCTACATCTACACCGATGCCGTGAAGGATTTCACCCTGGACAACGTTTTCCATACGCTGAAGTGCGCTGACAAGTATGACTTGCCATTGCTGGTAGCTCAGTGCACTGAATTCGTCATGGGCAAGCTCAACGTCAACAACTGCCTGGCGATTATTGATAATGTAAGTGAGACGCAGAGACTGCACTCTGTTGAAGTGTATGTTACCGTGCTTATTGAATTACCTCGTGTTTTCGAATCTTCTAGGCGATGCACTATGCCGGCGCTGCACCGAGCATCCTGGAACAGTGTTTACGCCTGGTTGACGAATCAGCGAAAACTGTCTGGGAAGCGAAGCACTTTAGTAAAATCGGAGAAGAGGCACTGCGCATCATCCTGCAACGGGATACTCTGACAGCAAACGAACACACCATTTTATCCTCTGTTAACATGTAAACGAATTTCGACATCCCTTGTGTAATGACATAGAATGCCGAGCCTGCTCGTTGTACCCGTGGCTTTTAATCTTTTATCAGTCGCTTTCTGTCAGGTGGGCTATGGTCATGTGCTTACGAAGGAAGCTCAAAAACACTTCAGCTGCTAATCGACGTGAAGTGTTGGGCCAGGCGTTGTTTCTCATCCGATTTCCGCTTCTGACCCATGCCCAGCTGTTAGATGGACCCATCGCGGTACGGTTCTCAATAGATACGGCATATTTATAGATCAGTAAGATTATAGTCCACTTTTGATGAGATTTAGAGCCTGTTCTTTTGACGGCCTATCCGCCATGCGTGGGCGGACGCGGTGTACTTCATAAAATGTTGTGCAGTAAGTTAGATAAGCTGCTTACGGCAACGCATTATCGTGTTTTACTCAGAACGGTTTGCTGCTGCAATCCGAAGGAATGGACATCTTCCGCTACAAGCACGCTACGATCAAACCGGAGTTGCCGTTCTCAACGAAGCCCCGACAAAGTTGGCGCGTTAATGCTTTCTTTGAAGACTAAGATCATGCTGAGGCTATAAACTTAATTTTATTTACTACTCCGTCTACTCGTAGATATACGCGCTAAGGCCGTGATTAACTATACGGTTCCCGATGTGAGGAAGCTTAAGGAGAAGGCTATGTTCAGCGAGCCAGTAACAGTCAGGAAGCTGCTTTGGTATGGCGATTGTTGTAGCGGAAATAAAGAGCTGATAATGCGGTTGGTTGAAGTTGATAATTTGATATCAAAGCTATCCATAATTGTGCAGGAGCGTCCAAGTTAACCACAACACTAAAGAGGGTTTTCCGGCACTTAGCCTTTTTCTGGTGTGTGATGGCTATCCGGAATCCGAACCTTGGTCGTGTCAAATTAATGCAGAACTTCGCCTGCTGCCATGGACAACAGGAACTGCAGCTGTTAATAGACGTATGCATGTTTATGCAGTAAAGCGATTATTGCAGCCTCATATAATCCAATTATGAGTTTAACAAGGATGTCTTTATATTCTGCAGAAATTTCTCGATTGTTCGATAAGGATACGAACAGCTGGGGTTGGTCAGAATATATCTCTATGGAGGTGAGGGCTTGTCTGCTGGTGCTGGGAAATGTTTGGTTAACTTCTTCCCCCGATAAATTATTTTTATTTTCAGAATTTACTGAACCCGGCGCGGGGCTACGTTAATCCGAGTGACTTCTCCTTGAAACTGCAAGTCGAGCTGTCCGCTAATCTTCCTACTGGAATTGAGTGAATGAATGTGGAAATGATAAGGTTGACGCAAAGGGATAAACCAAAGATAGCGTTTAGAAATGGTGGGTACAAACTCTTGAATAGCGGAATTCTTCCTTCATCAATAGACTATTTTTCTACTGATTTTTTGCTGTAAAGGGAGCATCTTGAACTGTTTAACCAGAAATTTAATCTGTTAGAGAAGCTTACACGATACAATGTGCAGGTAGATGATAATAGATGGAACTTGCCAAATCTTTAACGATCTTTCTGTTGGGATACATACCAGTACATTGGAAAAGTTTCTTAATAATAGCGGTAGGTGGCAACGTGTTCCTACTTCTCACAGTACACGCCCAAAAAGTGCCAGATTGACGCTGTCACAATCCTCAGCTGCATAAGCCTAAGAAACCTGCCATGTACAAAAAGATACAACACTACGCCGCAAAGTGGGATATGGCCCATGTCATGTTATGAAAACGTTCATTCTACAGACATCTCTAAAACAGTTGTCAGAGAGAGTTGTGATGGATTTGGCCTAAAACGATGTCGAACCAACGGTCGGCCAGCCACTACAAATCGCGCTTCTCGTCCCACTTCGTCGTTGGGAAGATGTTCCCCGCGTGTTATACCTGTTACTGTCACGTCAGACTCATCGGTATTGATAGATTTTCCAGTTCGATATTTTTGCCTTAAACTTACTGCCGTGAGGGTTTTTGTTTGCGCGCTGTACTTGCGGAATTACCGCTGAAAGCTGGATACTAACCAGTGAGCTGCATGTGTATTGTATAGAGCTTCAGCATTCTCATTCTCTGTGGGGCGCTGTATAACTGTAGATGTCTTATTTTCACGCTGAGTCCAAAATACGGAAATAGGCGGTCCATACCAAAATAATATTACAGCCAGGGGCACTGGCGATATTCCTACAGAACGGAAGTGCTGAGATAATCCTGTGCGTACTTGTGCACAAAAGTCGTGCGGCTCGGTGGTCAGCAGCTATTAAGTCACTCAAGCAATAAACATGCAACATGTACGTGTAAGCATAACCTGGTAAGTTAATCGTTACAGTAGTCCATAATGTGAAAGACTTACTCAAATACAACATAGGCGAAGAAGTCAGTCCATTTGACAGAGAAGGCGCGCGCCGACACGCTTTTATAAGTTGCCGTTGTCTGGCAAAACTCGGCACGCAAAAGTAATCACGAATCGTCTAATGATTGGTGGATAAGCGTAGTCCCTGTAGAGCCTTCTTCCGGCTCAACGAAAACAGCGAGAAGATTTAGACTGGATTAAAATGTTTAGAAAACTTTTAAATTTTTTACTCAACAACTTGTAAGTTCGTAACTATGTCAACAATTAACAAAATCATCCATGGCAAAAACTGCAAATGCCCATCTTCGACAGAGGTATTCAGAGAGCGTACTGATAGAACCATTCTGCGTAAAATTCATAAATCAGGGCATACTGTTATCAGTCTTACAGTTACAGCAAACTGAGCAAAGTAGTCCAAAAACATGCAACAAAACACTGGAGTGCTAAATACGACTAATCGCGTCAGCTCAAGCCAAACCAGCGGCATCCAGCGGGCGCTTCCTCGTGGAAACGAAGAGAGGGCACCGGGAAATCATCGGCATCACTAGCTGATTTCCAGTAGCTGGCATACGCAGGGTCCAAAAATATCTCACTGAATTCAACGCGGCGTTGAGTGCCCGCCACGGTGATGGCATGCTGGCCATTCTCCGCTCGGACGTACCATGCTTGTTTGTAACTGCCTACATTCCCGTGCATGATGGGTCGATAAGCGACTAGGTAGTCGGTTGCGCGAACGATATGCTTCGGGTTCTGTCTCACCAGTTCTTCTCCGCCAGCTTCCAGGCAGACGGCCATGGAACCCCGTACTCCGATCACCCTTGCACCGGGACACCAGTACTGCCAATAATTCACGAACACCTCCTCGTTGTGCTTGAACGCCACGCCATCAACGCGGATAATCGGCGGCTGTCGGGGTTGTGCCAGAAACTGGAGCGGGCGTTTTGTAGTGGCATGTCTTTGCAGGTAGATATCCTTTAATTCGGATGACTCCAGCAGACCACTCTACACCGATAAGCTCATTTACAGCACAATTGAGTCCATTTCCCGATTTTTGGATAAGGTTGTCTTACGTCAGTCGGGCCGTCAGCCAATTGGATGTCGGTCATGAGCGGAAATCGAATTAGGTACAACAGTCTCCCAGAATTTGGCGCCGGTTGGTGGCCGATGGCTCTCGGTTGCTCCGGGCGCAGGCAGCTGTTGCCCACCTAGACACAAATTCAACACTGAGGCGAGTGTGATAAATCTTCCCTTATTTGCAGTTAAACAGTTTTGAGGGTCGAGTTCAAGAGGAATATTCTCAAGATAACATCTCCTGTGGTCATTCCTACATTTCACATTTTTTTTCGATTTCTCTCGCCATATACGAGTATTACTGCTTATGGGAAGTGTGCCGGTACTGTACATGGTACCAAATTCGTGGATACTTCAAAAAGTATGAAAGAAAACCTTCCCTTTCGCACACCTTCAAACACTTTTTCGCAATGTTTTATGACATTTTACAGCCAAATGATGTGAACATATCGGCGGGAAACCGTTCGTGCGCGTTACAACCGGTGGGGGAGTCATAAATGGAAGAAATTCCCGAAATTCCGAAAATTAGTACGCATGAAGGTGTACCAGAAGTCCAGTTATCAACCGATGTTCATCAGGATTTGCATTGAAACGCACAACAGAATCAAGATCGCTGTTTCACCGAACCAGCTCTTCATCCTTTCTTTCAAATTTCAAAATAATTTTTACAAGTTCAAAATTACATGTGCGGGGGAAAACAAAATTTCCCGTACTGTATGAGTAAACTAAAGGCCCCATGCGAAGTACATCACAATCAGGTGCGCATGGGGCGCAATTATTGGCTTCCTGAGAGACAACTGGTGAAACCGGTTTTATCATTTAATCAAAGTGGACGTTGGCTTAATTAACCATTAAGAAGAATTTTGTCAGCTCATTTACTGCTCCTGTGGTGTGATAGATCAAAAATAAAGTTTTAAAGGCCGTCTGAAAACTACCGCACAACACGTGCCCACTTACCGATCCATTGCCAAGTAAATACTGTTCTCCTCGGCCAAGAGGCTATCCTGCCAGTATCATGCGCAGCGTGGTGAGCGGCAGTTCGTTGAATTGTTCTGACTTGAGAATTTTCTCGCAGTGAACGTCCACATAGTGCCAGCAATTCTCAAGTACACTGTCGCCAGCGAAGGCCAGGGTGAGCGCCTGTACAAGTGCAATCATACACGGTCACTGATATGTTTCATTTTACATGCCACCATAAAGTCCCTTTGAAAACGTACCTTCTCCAAATGTCGTAAGCAGTTTTGGTCGCTGGCATGCAGATCCCGGAGGATAGAGTCGAGGCAATGGCCAGCGAGCGGCGGTAAATCGTACTGTTCGGCGCATTTCATCGTTGCCAAGGCATCCTCCACTGTCACGTCGATCTCATCGGTGTATATATATCTATCAAAGGCAGATACAACATCAACAACTGATAAGAGATTTTACATTAAAAATCCGGGAAAGCCAATATACTGTAATAACAGGCTCCCCCTCCCTCCCCGAAATTCAAGCTCCTCGGTAACTGGAGCCTCCCGTACAGGAGACTGGAAATTTATTAGCCCCCTCTCCCCCCTCCCAAACAGACGCCCATGGGCTTCAGTTAAAAAATGGTAAAATAAAATTTATTAAAAATTTAGGTTCGTACATACGGTAATCTTATAGTAAGGCTCACTTAAAATTCAAATGCCTACACTTATGTACAAGTACAAACATCGCCAAAAACATCTGCAACAACAGTGGTACAGTGTTGCAGTTTTTGAACTTTAGGAAATTTTGGTGATCAAAGTGAAGCGCTCACATGTCAGCTAAGGTATCTATTTGTATCAAAATTATGTCTTATTCGTTCCAAATTTTACCTCGTGCCAAGAAAGATTTAGTGCGAAACATGGACGCACCCCTGTAATACAGACCCATGCTCGTAATTGGAGCCCCCTCCGAGAAGAATTCCAAATATATTTTATCAATCAGAACTTATAATTCGATAACTGCGGTATGTAGATGCCAGTAATATGTTACCAAATACACGCACGCAGGCAAATTTTGTAGTTGTGGACCGAACAACTACTGTACTCGTATTTAATTATTATAATGTCAGTTGACGTTAATGCCAATCAGCCAATAGGTACTGTAGCGGCGTTAACAAGTTAGACCACAGAGTTGGTTTACCGGAAAAATGCACACTGAATATACCCACGCTGAACGGGCAAAATTCACGACGCAGAAATTCGGAGTTCCTTAGGCACCATTCATGTTTTGGAGTAACTGAACATTTTATAACTAATTAATAATATCTAAAATTAAAAATTAGTTAAAAACTGTACTACAGAAGGCTAAAAGTAATGCATACAAATTAGAGCTCTGATTTTACCATGTACGTTTGTTGTGGTTTTTGGGGTGCCCCTGCGCTGGGGGGGGACGGTTTTTGGTTTAGCATTCGAAGGCAGAAAGTGGCGTTTTTTGATGATACAAAAAATATTGGTGGAAAAATAATAGTCGGAATTAAGCAAACATCTGCTATTTGAAGATCGGTAAATTTAAAATGCGATTCAAGCCGTGAATTATGCGCGTGCAGCGTGGGTATAACAGTGCGCATTTTTACGGTAAACCAACTCTGTGGTCTAACTTGTTAACGCCGCTACAGTATATATGTATAAAAATTAATTGTATATGCACGTACACACCTGAGCATGTTTTCGAAAGCCTCAGGAAAAATATCGGGAACGTCGATAGTATCGGTATCCTTATTTTCGCAGAATATTTCGTAGAAGACATCGCTACTGCTGATCAACACGCACCTGTCAGAATGTAGACCGTTATCATCGGCGTTATGTTCAGAACTTCAGACTGCCAGCTTGAGAACCACAAGGGTAACAGTATGCGTCCTTTGCGTCGTATACTCACTTGAGTGCTCGGAAGGTTCTCTTGGCCGACGTTTCGGCCAACGGTGAACTGTACATCACTTAGCTCCTCCTTTCGTAATAACCGTTTCATCCGCTTATCCACGCCCTCAATCTTGCCGCGTTGTCGTTGTCGTCGCGGTTCAGGTTCTGCAACTTCTGGCGACCCTGGCTCGCTGTCACTTGGTTGTGACTCACTGTCGTCACTGCCAGTGTCAGATGCAACCTGCACGCATCGTGATCGTAAACTCTTCATCTTGTAGTGGGATTTGAATTCAAAAGTTCAGACTTCATATCAGATCGTAGTAATAGAAACGGTTGTGATAATTCTTTTCTGGTTTGGAAAAGAACGAAGAGCTACTGCATGATTTCAGGTCGATTGCTGACTCATGACGTTTTATGCACTATGCACCAACGAAGCATAACATTTGTGCAGACCGCTTTCTTTGGGGGGTTGGTATCTGTAATCAACGAGCACCGGAACGATCTCCCGTGACTGCAGCTGCGAATATCCGCCTGTTTATTGTCTGCTGGGTGACCGCAAACATGCACGCCCTCCGGGTGGTATGTTATTTATAAAATCTGGCTCTACATACTAGCTGTGGACCTGTGGTGTAAAGTGGAGACTGCGTCCGTCTGCATGTACTACTTTCGATTTAGCGAATTAAACGCACTTCTTACTAGAAAGTAATATTTCGCCCTGCTCCAGAGTTTAAATTATACACATTGCATTTCTCCTCTCTTTGGAGAATGATGGTATCTTGTGTACAGATAATCTCTGCCAAGGCTCGAAAGCAGTCCTGCGGTCGTTTTTGTCCGCGCCTCCGCGGCAATATACGGCGGCGGCAATTTTTTCCCGATTTGTCAAGAAGCGCCTAGGCGCCTTCTCGCACGTGCGTGCCGTAACCCTCAAATGCTACTGAGATAAAGTTCTTTCGCGGCAGAAACTATATGTATTTGGTCGGCTCCCCTCTCTCGACCACTTCTACGCCGTCTCTAGTATTTAATAAATTCATATTAAACCTACACTCTGTAGCTTTAAGTATACAAATGACTTTCTTTTTTTAGTCGGTCCGATATTGGCAGAAACGCACCTTTGCTGGGTTGTAGCTTCTACATAGCTAGGTAGGTATAAAAACGCGAATTACATACTTCAAAAAATTATTTAGCTGCATTGTTAATGCAATCGTAGGGCTATTCATATGCACTACGATGCAGTTCCGTAGTTCTGTTAATGCGTGAAGCCGTGAACCCTATTTCAGCTGTAGCGCTTAGTTGCACGACTATTCAAATACGACTTTTCAGTCCACTTTTTCAGTATTTGGAAAGTGAAACAGAGGCATCTCGTAAATTCCGGACTTTAACCATTTGTGACATGCCCGATGTGAGTACCTCCAAACATTGCTGCTTGCTCCAGCATATTCCACTTATTGAATTTCCAGTAATACAGTTTTCCGGAACTTCTCTCCATCATCAAGACCCAGAATGACAACGAATTACACAGTAACTCCTGCAAACAAAGGCGGGGAATAACACAAAAAATTATCCAGCATTTTATGTCATTCTTGCCTCTATTTGTACAATTCCTTGTACACGTACATTTCCTTTGTACACGTACATCACTTTCACTCTCGGACCCTCGGTGTATCTCACACGAGCCGTATACCATGCGTGGATGATGCTGCTCCCACAAACCATCGATCGATTATCCTCACAACGCGCAGTCGGCACAACGTAAACGATTTTTCCGTTTTAAGCGAGCACATTTACGCAATCACGTGCGCCCTAAGTAAACCGCAGTTTGAGATGCCATTTTATTCTTATCGTTGCCTACCTGTTTTGGAAAACCTCGAAATATAATTGTCTTACTAGTTAGATACTTAGATGTAACTACCATAACTACGGAAATGACCAGTCCTGGCCCAACAGCGCATTCGACGAAAGCACGCATCGAACGCTGGATCCACAAGCCATGGAAATCGCTTTCGCTCATTCGACAACGCAGCAAAGACGCTTTTCAACCAGACTATGTTGTCGATGCTAAGAAAAATCCATTCAACGCTGTCAAACTCCCCGTTGATCCTAGTTCTATCGCCGACGACGGCAACTGCCGACAAATCCTGGGGAAAAATCTGCAACCAGTTGTACACGAATGCGCCACAGGACAGTGTATTTTGGGATATTTGTGCGATGTGGACTGGCCAGGACGACGCGTTCTGGTGGATTTCTCTTGTTACAACTGCCCACCCTGTTGGCTGCCCGCTGAAAAGGTACAGCGGCATAGTGCAACACAAACCAGGGATCTTTGCCTCGGAACCCCGGTTGAAGCTGCGTTGCGGCCAAACTCCGACCAACCTTACGTTTTCCAGCCGGCGCGCATCATCTTTCCTGACGGTTCTGGTGACGTGTGGGAGTAGGATCACACGCCGGAGTGTACGTACGGATGCTGACTGTCCGCCTTCCACCTGCAACATAACAGATAATCTAGTCAATCTCTACTGTGATTTGCTGTTCTCTTTTACTAGCGGTGTATATGATGTCATAACGCAGAGTCTATATAAGTTCTTGTTGTCACTAATATCGGCATCAGTAGTCTGAGATTTACTTCTGAGACTGCTTTCTAATTACGATTTCCATGCGTTGTGAACTGTGATGTGAATTGGATAAAGAGACAGCAATACTTGTTCCTTCTGATGTACATGATCGCTCCCGGATTATTGCATAGAATACAGGTTTGCTCGTGACACAATCGTCCTCGCTCTTGCCGATCCACACAGGACTCGCGACCGGATGTCGTTGTTGGAGTGTTCCTGAGGGATTCCTGATTCTCTTGTTCCTGAGTCTTCGTGTTTCCACCATAAGGATCTGTTACAGTTTGAGATAGAGTTGCCTGCCGATTGAGCATTACAGGCGTGGAAGAGTAAAGATTGTTCATGGAGCCTTAACCGGCGTGAACGCTTATACACGACACTGGTAAGTCGGGTCCAATCTGTGTAGAAGCGGCACTACAGGGCGATGAGAATCCCGTTCATAAATTTGTCCATCCAATCCAGCTGCGCTTTGTGCGGATGTATCCTCGGTTTCACCGGAAAACCGATGAAACACTTTCCATTCTCGGATACTGTCGCCAGCTGCAGAAACAGACGGCTCCTCTCGATTTTGGACAGGATGCGAAACATATTGATCTGCAGCGTCTGCTATGGGCTTTAACCGAAATTCCGGGGATGAAAGCAGTGCGTATATGGCTTGACACCCAGTGCGTTTATTGCGTCTATACGAACGGTCAACCGGAAATTTTTGGTGAGGAGCATTTGAAAGATTTGGTTCGAAAATCGTCCCGGTTTGATGAAATTGCGACCGGAAAACTTTTGAAAGTCGATAAGACGGACGCCAACCGAGGCCGTTCCGCGTCCCTGGGAATGCTGCCATGTGAAATGCAGAAGTGGATCGTGCTGGAAATTGAAGACATCCACAGTGTCGTTAACGCTCAAAAGTAAGCTTTGGAAACGAGACGAGCGGCTGCTCGAATTTCATCGAGCCATGCTGATTTAAGATGTGCAGTTTGAAAGGGAACGTAAGATCATCTGTGTAGCTATGATAAAAACAGCAAATATAATTTTCAAGGCTCATGCAAGTACATAATAATTATTGTTTATGGCAGAGTTTGCAAACTCTGGCACGATTTTCTAAGCGGTCGCTGCCGCAATCACCACGTCGCTATCGACCTGACCAGTTTACTGCCCGATGGTCCACGTGACCAGGAGCGAAAATATAGCCGCACTCATCTGCTGAACGTCCTGGACAATGCCGTGACACGAGCCACTATATCGTTGACGCTAATGAACGGGAATCTGAGCCCTGAGCTGGACCTGTATGTCTCTCGGTTCCTTTCGATCAAGGTCACGCGTTTACCGCTGATCTTCCTGAAGAATGTGCGCTGCTTTTCGCGTCCTAGCACAGAACCACGAGAAGCAGCGACTTGAGTGGGCCAACCTCCGCTATTTGATGCAGGCTTGCCAAGTACTGCATTTGCGTGACGTCTTCGTTCCCGCCCTCTTCGGCCCCATCGCCGGGTTGTGGAGCGCGCCGGCCGATGTCCGGCAGGAAATCCATGTTGTCGTGAAGAAAGCCGCGCTGCACTGCGGTCTTAGTGAAACTGATCGGTTACGATGTTATTTGAAGGTATTAAGCGCTGCGTGCCCCGAATTTACCGCCGGTGACTGGGAAGACATCAACGAAGCCTGCCAAGAGATGCTCACGTGTGCCAAACATTCGTTCAGCAGCCGGCTAATCCTCATGCTACAGTTGTAAGTACCATTCGGTCCGGTTGCAGAAAAGCTGAAGAGCACTAAAGCGGTGTTCTACGTATGAATACATAAGATTACATAAACGAGCTGGTGTTTTCAGGTTGAATGAACCGATAACCGGGCAGTCACAGCCGCCACTATCCCGACTCGCCGCCCATGCCTTCCGCTACTCGTACTGCCATTGCGAAGAGAAGCACCACAGTTCTGACAGGCCCTATCCTGCCCGTTCGGTGTTACGTGATGACAGCCACCTCTGGGAATGGGATGCAGAAGCACAAATCAGCATCATATTTCTGGTAACTTAAGAATAATTGTTTTGGGAGGATGTTAAGGTTGATTGGCTTAGATATTATAAGGGAATCTATTTGTAGTGAGTCTAGTGACCACCCAATTTTCACCTGCTCGCATTCTTGCGCATACCGCACCTACCGTGTAACGGAGACACCGCCATGCGTCACCGTCAAGGTCAGTCAGCGGTCGACGGCATCAGATTACATCATATGACAATATCCTTACGTCACTTCCTGTCATACTGCTGTCATCCAGTACAGTCACCACCGAAGCCCCACCCCATCCCAGCCGGCCATCCTCATATATAAGGAGGCCTTCCGGCCGCCAGTCAGTCAGTCCGCTCTTCACCATCAGTCTAGCCTCTAGCATTAGCATTGTAGTAGTGGGCAGGTATTTCACTGAACAAAGGTCACGGTCTACAGGTGTTGTGTTCCGTTCATATGTACACATAGGTACACATAGGTACAGGTCATCGTTGACCAAACACACACACTTAGGGGAGCACTACGGGAAGACTCAATCTTGCGACAAACGCGCTGGATTTCGGTCGGACGCCGCAGCGGAGGACCGCGTCGACGGATGCAATAAGCTGCAGAAGATAATATGTCGGCATTGCAAACATGCCGCACGACGTGGAATCGCCCGCTAGAATTTTGCACGCGGTGCAGGCAGCCGAATTTACAACTCAAGTGCCTGCCTAAGAGCTGTTTAACCAACGGTCAAGATGAATAGCGTGCAACTGTTGTAAATCTGACTGATGTAAATTATGATACTTTACAATAATTGTTTTCAAAGGATGCTACGGTTGGTCCGCTTAGATATTTATTAGGCGAAAGCAATTCTGTACGTCGCTGCGCCGTATTTTTGAGAAAATGAGATAACAATAATAAAGGCGCCGGTGGAAAAAAGTGATTCTTAGGCGTACCAATTTCAGCTGGTTACACTTTTTTTACAGAATCGGAGATGCTTATTATGTATACTAGTATACGATATTAGCGTATCTCCAGTCAGAGAGATTATTGCAACGGAAAATAATATCGTAATATCGTCCTATATTGCTAAAGGCAGCGAGAGGTTAATACTGTAATACGGTTTTGGCGACTAGCTGGACACAGTTTAGATAGTTTGTGCCACACTGCAGAAGCAAACGTAAAAAAGTGCAGATATCTATATAATGAGAAGATCACAGCTTGACAAGTGCTTGCTTGTTAGCGTTCTGTCCGCCTTAAGGAACGACCGTCCATGGAAAATGGAATTCCACGGATGGAATCCAATTTCCAAATCCGCGCTCCATGCGACCGGCTCGGATTTGGAAAATGGAAAATAGGAAATCCGTGGAATTCCAGTTTTTGCTTGGAATTCCCGATTCCTGTATTTGGAATTCCAAGTGCCCAGAAATGTCGAGTAAAAATTAAAACTGAAAACTTTTGTGTTTTCAACCGGTAACTGCAATTTTTCTGTTTGAAAAATGGCCGTCCCTATTCTGGCGCTTGCCCGGTAAAGAAAACAACGCGCCAAAGATATTGAAAAACGCCAGATTGCAACATGGGTACGCATGCATGACTCGTACAGTATCAGCGACAAGTTACTGTACTGTACCAGTGTCCATTTAACCGCACTACATCAACGCCATGTTTGTACTCAGTAAACTAAGCAGAAAACAAACAAGGATAAAATTACGCAGTACGCATTATCTTATTCAACAGGACAATCCAATGAAATTATCTGTTCGAAAAGGTACATGTATTGTCGTCTGTCACATATATCAAGAAGACTTCTTTTTTTGACCTATTCCACAAGAAAGAAGTAAACGAAAAGGGTCAGTTTGGGCGGCTACGTAAAATAAGTACAGTCTGTATTTGGACTGTCCTCTTGCCTCTTGAATAAGATATACTGTATCTGTATTATACTGTAGACCGGCGGTATCTGTACTATACTCTAGTAGTATAATATTACTGCCTTTTTTTAGGAAAAACAGATAGTTCTGTGTCCCTTAACTCTGTCTGGAGGCTTGAATGAAGTTTTAAGTGATGAATGCGCAGTATTTAAGCACGTGACGATAACTGAAATAGTGTTTTGTTAATAGTTATGTAATTAGACGGCTAAAAACGGTATTCCAACGAAAACTATAGAAATCCTTGGATTTACGGAAATCCATTTGGATTTCCGTAAATCCACGGATTCCATGGAATTCCATGGCAATTTCCTTTCCAAATCCTTTCCACGGGCTCTCGCCCGTGGATTTGTCCTCCTTAGTCCGCCTCTATTTGTGCACCTTCCTTGTGCACTCTATCTCCGACACTCCGAATGTCCCTCAAGTCCGCCTAGCTGCAGGGTGAACGGAAGCATTCTGGTGTGTTGGTACAATTCATATCCTTCATACTTTATTAAACGCCCCACTAAAACACAAATCACAAACCCAGAAACACAAGAGAGAACAGCAAATGCGGCTGCTAAGAAAAGATGTCTTCTTTATCCAGCTCGGGAGAGTTTTCATTACACAGACTGCTTATTTCCCTCTGTGTTTGCATACTCCATCACTGCCGAAAGAACTCCCTGTTATCCAGTGGAGGCGGCAGTATTAGTTTCCGTCTTTGCCAAGAAGCTTCTTGATACCTTCTCCCCACCGGCGGTAAATGCTTCTTGAACAAAGGTGTATCACGGCAGAAGTTTATAATTGGGTGTTCTCATCACAGACACTTCTCCGGCGGCGCCCCGACATTTAACAGTCAACACAGTCAACATGCGGTCGATGCGGCTAAGGTATTCACGCAGGCAAGTCATGCAACGACCAGCGGTTTACCGCGGTCCCAGGGAACGAGTCTCATGACATCCAGTCTCTTCTGATCATTAACTGACAAACCATTCGGTTCCTTCCTGCAAAAGAAACCGGCTGTCTGCGGGCGAATTCTGGGCTTGTAGCGTCCTGCTTAGGAAATGCCAGCTGAAAGCCCAAATGCGTATGATTTATCATTTATGCAATTACGACTGTTATCCAACAGACAGTCCAAACATGCGACCGGTAGCGGGCGCGTCCAGAATCCAGATTTCGGTACCGATACCGCGCCACGACCGCTGCACCACTGCGGCGAGCAGCCAGGCTTGAAAATGCCCAGCCCCGAGTAAAACGTTTTTTTAAAAAAATATGAAAGTTGAATGTAAACCTACCGTGAGTTGAGCGGATTTGGTGTTCAAATATCTGAACGCATCACGTAAAACGCACGTAGTTTTCCCATGCGGATTTGCTCGTGTTTTACTGGCGTAGTCGATGTGTCCCCAAAGTTTTGGGTGATAAAAACTGTTTTTCTGTATAACGTAGTGCGAAGAAGGACTCGGTACCAGAATCTAGCTATCGGATATAGGTGACGGTTTATGGTCGGTGAGAGTCTGGGACGAGAGTCCGGCGGAATCAAAGTTATCCGGAATATAGATATACACCAACGTATAGGATGAAGGATGGTGGCGCAGGTGCCTCAAGTTGTGATACTTCTAGTAAAATACATTATGACTTATGACTTACCTTTACCAGATTAAAAAGACAGATGCTGCTCTGCACGGCACTTGATTTCTTTATCATGAGTGGAATCGAATTTTCGGACTGGCAAAGCTGGCGAACTCTGACGTGCACTAGCCATCCATACGATGGCCCTGGTTACGTCCATGAGCGTTCTCCTCAAGGTTGGTTGTTTTTTTCAGTGTTTAAATGAGTCATTTTATTTAGTGTACAGAGTACAGCGCGCAGGCATTTTGTTATGAGTAGTGGTTACTGCCAAATAAAAATGATATATACTCGTAAGTTGACCTGTATTCCTGTGAAAATCAATTTTATATCTAGCTTCATTTATGATTTTAAGAAAATCCCCAAGCTGAAAGTTATTAATGACGAAAATTTATGGACTTCCGAGAGAATGTTTGGACTTCCGGCGCTTGAAGTAATCACAACCGCCCGGTGTGACCGCGCAATGCAGTTTTATCTTGCAATTCCCGTTTTTTTCCTTTTCGATTCTTCCCACAAAAAGTGTTTTTTCTGTTTCCTTTTGTTAAAAGATTAAAATGAATCCTCACTGCTTATTCTTAAATTGAAATTTGCCGACTAATGCCGAACGGCGCGAGATCAGCCTATCTGTCTCCACGTCACATTGGAAAATGCAACGCAGTCGAACCTGGAATAGTGCGAGTGTTAATGCCTACCGGCTATTGTTTCGTATATTACGACTGCACGATTGACATTTGCGCTGAGTACTCGCTGTAACAGGAACCGAAATAATCGTAATTTAACAATTTAATAATTGATAACTGCAGCCGTCGGTACTTTAACTGTGACCATACCGATACCGCAGAGGAAGGCTTGCTATCCGATCAATCGTAACGTAGATAAAAATGCAGATATATTTTGTTATAGCCTTCTTGGTGGATACATAATTCCGAACTAGTGCGAGTGAATGAGTTCTCAGTTCTATCACAAATTACGGTATGCACGTTTCACTATATTATTTCCTGTAGAGTAACTTCTAGTGTTTCTGGAACAACCTTTTGCTACGAGAATACTGCAGTCACGAAATGCTTAAGCAAGGTTTTCTGCTTTCGAAGAAAAGTTATTGTGGGGCTTTTCATCTTTATCACTTGTTCTCGTATCAATAAAGTGTGCAAAGCAATACCTATTACCTGACTTCTAACTCAATTTACTGCATTTGCACCATACGGTGAGTAAACAATCACTGAGAATTCAATAACACCAACTAGCAAAGAAGAACTTTCTGTGACAGTTGTCAAATAATTTTGAATTTAACTGGAGCATTACAAACCAGGCTCAGTCCCTAAACATATAATATCCTTGGACCAAGCCGCTTCCGATTGCGGCCCCGACCTCCGCTCCCAACAAAGCACCCGGAAGATTTCCGGCGATACCACCAACAATCATGCCCACATGGCCGCCCGCAACACTGCCGGCAAAGGTCATCTGCGGCTCCTCGGTTCGTTGCAGCCAGCTCGCCCCCTGTCCTCGCACGATGCCGCGTTTGCGTCGATTGGACCCTGTTGTGGGTCTGGTCTCCGTAAAAAGGATGCCCCTTAAGACGCCCGTTTGGAAGGATTCCACCATGGTATGGCATTCGGTTGGGAACAGGGATGGTGCTCGCTGCAGGAGGTGCAGAAGATCCGCGGTGTTGTTGACGGCATGACATTCCTGGAGCAAGGGCAGGAGGCTGGATCGGCACGGCACGCTGGGATAACCGGCTAATAGAGCCCTCTCCAAACTACCAGCACTGGCGGGAACACCGGGCGCTTCGTTGATTTGGCCAGATCCAAAATCAGCAAGGGCCAGGAGAACGACACCCACAAAGGTCAGAACTTTGCAAACACCCATTACTACTACTACACATGAAAGTGTACAGTTTAAGCTTTCGGTACATTAAGAGGTCAATCAAGTCGGTAATTATACTGTGAGATGGAAAGGTTCTGGAAGCGGTCTTATATACTGACGTGTACTGGCGTCCCTTAGTACACATCGGTACTACTTTACTACTTCTACCCCTACTACTAAGGCTTAGGCTTTACTACAACTTCTACGCGAGTCATGACCGCGACTCCGAGTATCGACTTCTCAGAAATCCCCAGCAGAGAACTTTGACCGCGACTTGCCATTTCGACTTGACCGCGCTTCGGTCAACGAGCTCAACCTATTGTTCTAGTGTATTAGCTGACCTCTTGTTCTCATTAGTCCACGTGTAGAGATGCAGCGGTGTGATTAGTCCACGTGTCCTTAGATGTCTTGTAT